CAAGTAAGGGAGTGCGTATAAACAGAGGCGGTAACCAACACGACGGACAGTATATCAATATGGCTGTTGATAATCTTGGGAATCAAGTCCAGTCAGTAGTAGTAGGATGGGCGAATTTTCAGTTTTGAGGCAGAAATCACATGCAGCTGCAGCGAAATTGTATTTATTCTGTAACACAAGGGCTGAACTATTTTCCGGCCAGAAAAGAAAACCAATTTGGAAGACAGACGCCAAGTACACGGTAAATGCATTTCAGAGTTCAGTTCAGTTCAATTATTACAACTATTAACCATGCACACTTTCGTGCTCCGATTTTGATTGCTGTTTATTGGTTGCCCATTTGGATAAAACAGCAGAATGAAGATTAGAATGTTGAGAGCGGACGAAAAGAGAAGTTATGTCGACCGATGTTGGAAGAATAATGAGTAGATGTATGCGTGCCACTGTTTGCGACACCCAGCCATATCGCTCAGAGTCCTTAACTCTTGGTTGACCACAATCTCCGGATCCCAAGCCAGGAAGCTTAACGGGATCTAGGCGAATAAATTGTGAAAAATAGCCGGGTAGATTTGGTACAACAGTCCGCTTGATTGTTGACGTTTGAAGACTTATGATAACTACACCGAGTAGTCTTGAGTCGAAGATAAATGAATGGGTCCTAACAACCCTGAAAGATATGGAATGTTATCTGAAATACGAAGCAATTTTCTGTCCCCGCGAAATTCGATGGGGAAATCGATGCACCCACAGATAACACGATTCAGTGAGTTAAAAAAGCCAAATAAAGATAGGTGAAACACATGACACTTGCTGGCCGAAAAACTTGTATCCAAGTGTACGAATGAAATGGAGACATGATGAATAAATCAAAGTTATTTTTACCGATTCATGATCACGGGAGCGGAGAATACTTCCGAGGATTTGCGCCCATAGGCATTGCCTGAATGCCTGAAAACAAAATCAGTCATATTTACGACTTCCTTGGTCATACAGGTTAAGCTACCTGGTTTTTCATCACACTACTCTAATTAGCGACACAGGGTGTAGCTTTTGAGGGACATGCTGTTTCAAGCAGCCCATTAGACGATATCAACCGAAACAAAAAAATCTCACTTAACGTCAATCATGAAATATGTTTAGGCCGGGAATTTCATCCAGTTACCTATATATACTACTTACTCTAGCATAGCCATGATTTGTATGCTAGGTTCAAACTAAGTGAGGATCTGCTCTTAAACGAACGAAGAGATCACAAATCATAACCACCAATGGTTTTCATGCACAATTAACATTATGAGGCTCACGCGCCTCAGTATGGTAGGGAATGGGTGTCTAGAGTTGCGGATGATCACCCTTTCTTTGCACCTCGTGAAATGCTCCCATACGACCAAGTGTCTCGAATAGCCTCTGTGGGTTGGCGGACCACTGGTAGCGCACCAAGGGGAGTGGGCCAAAAACCTTGATTTCAAACCAACTAAGACGCGTACGAACCACACACACACACACCGGTGGCAGTGGTCACCGGCTCGATTGGGCACCTTGGACGTTTGACCTCGTTCAAAGGGCGTATAATCCAATGAGCTGGACACCGGACCCCAATGGATTGCGATTTTCGCACACCGCCCCGCTGCCTTGCGGGTCAGCTTTTGACTAGCCGAAGGCTCCGATTGTGGCCTGGGCCACCTGGTAGTATTCCGCCCACATGCAAATAATGGAAGGTTTTTCTTTTTCATAAAGATTACTACACCATGATTTGTTTGGCACACAGTCCGGTTCTTGACGTTTGTGAAATACATATATACATATGAAGCTTACACAAAAGTACGCAATGACCTACTACAATTGTTTACAACCGCTTGGCTAACGTGCATCCAATTGGCTGTTGAGTCAGTTCGCCTGCAACAATACGAATGTGCCGTTTATCCTGGTTTCATGATGCAGCACATGNCATGGGACAACACTTGTGTGAGCGCGCGCACGAATCCCGGTTCGAAATCTAATTACTGTGATCATTTTACACGCGATGCGCATTCCGAATGAGATGGAACATTCTAGTCACCAGTGAAAGAGATAAAACAGTTGTTCCTCGTTCCACATTGGGGCATATCGGAGGTGACCGGATTTCGTACTAAAGAGTACGCTGATCAGATTCACTCTATGATAGAGTATCACTGTGCAGAACGGTTAACAGGATGATCTAACTTGAGAAATTACTTTGTTCAGAACAAGTCTAATGATCTGGGTTTATGTTGATCGAACTGAGTCGCCTCCAACGAGAGGCCGCACATCGGGTGAACCCACGGCGAACGCGCGCAGCACGGATATCTCAAAAAGCGTGTGCAAGTGCATTTTAGTGCGTGTTCTGTTTACGTTGTTTGTCACAAGTCATAAAACTGCGCTCTGATAGGCCCAGAATGTCCCAATTCGGATCGATGAGATTGCGAAATGATTCTTATTAAATCAAGTTATCGGTAAACCACATACCGAGTGAGGTGTGTGAAGGGTAGGTGGATGGGTGGGAATTGACTATTGATTTTCACTCTAATGCATAAAAAAGAAAATTTTGAGGCTAACAAATAGATAAAGTGGCACGTGACAATTCATCTATGGAACTGGTTCACGAAGCGAGGATGAGCAAGACACTTGCTTCTGATGCTTCTTCACTGGGAAAACATAACGGACGTGTTGGAGAACCAAGAGAGCTACGCTTGATGATGGGAAAGGCTAGGTGAACTGGTTTGTCCGTCAGATTAACAACCTACCGGTGTCCAGGCTCCAAGTCCAGCGGGTAATGCTCAACTCATGACAAGCGGATGAAACAGTTTTAAAAACCTCAGTACGATATGATGTGTAAAGTGGGCATGACAAAAAACCGTGAAAGATGGAATTGATTCTAAAACGTTCCCAAATGACGTTGCCCGGAAGCACGAAGGATGAATCTTCCACCAAATAGATTAAAGTCGGGAACAGTTTTCGCAAAAAAGAATTACGCGAAATGATTTCAGCACCAGTGTTCAAAATCCAAACCATTCTGAGTAGAACAAGTTTGAATTTGGTCTCCTGAAAACGGTACCGAGAATGCCGTGAACTCAATGAACTGAATGCTCTGGTTACAAACACTGGGAGGTAGTGTAAACCGAGTAATTGCGTGCAACATAT